AGAGATAGAGAAGAGCAAGTGAGAATCTGAGTAACTGGCCGAGACGGTGGTGACTCCGGTGCCGGCGACCGTGATGGACATGAGTAATGGAGGCAACAATGCTTCGTATGTGAACTCCTTGGGAATCTCCGCCGTCGCCGACAGATTGGCTATGCATGTTCGCGGTACGCCAATAACCGATGCCGTTGAGTTCTTCAATCTCTGCGTCTCTCTTGCCAGGTCTTTTTGCTGCAATCTTTTTTTTTATCTGCTTAAATGTGGCGCGTTTGGATTTTAAAACCAGTTTTTCTATAGGTTTCCGTTTACGCATGCTCAGTATATCTCTATTTAATTTTTTATTAGTTGCTCTAATTTGATGGTGGACACCTTCNATCTGCTTAAATGTGGCGCGTTTGGATTTTAAAACCAGTTTTTCTATAGGTTTCCGTTTACGCATGCTTCCAGTATATCTCTATTTAATTTTTTATTAGTTGCTCTAATTTGATGGTGGACACCTTCTACAGGGTTTAGTTGAACTGCAAATTGTTGAGAATTTTTCTGGCAGTATAAAGAAGTCATTGAAATTTGAATCTGGATTGGGACTTGGGGGAGCTTGTAACAGAATGCCCCTTCTTTTACATGAAAATGTAAATAGGGAAAGTAGAAAGAGAAACACGGCTCTTATTGAAGAAAATGGGAATGGATTGAAATAGATAAATTTAGGTGGTTAAATTTGATTAAAGGAGAAGTTACAACCTTACAGGTGATTAAACGAAAGAAAACATGTGATATCAGTAATAGACTTGTAATTAACAACTAACAAGTACCAATAAAGGGGGAGGATACCAAATCCCACCCTGTCCTTTTATTAATAGCAGGGATGGATGTACTCTTCCTTTTGAGTACAACCCAAGAACTAACTTAAGTGGGATATCCACCCATTGCCAAATGGGATCCGTGGTTTCAAATTATCATTTTCTAGATACTCTTGCTTTTACATTAGTGTTATTGATTTGTTGTGGCCCTTCTTGTGCATGGTTATGTCTACAAAAGGTAGTAATATGACTTTGGCCATTGCCCCTTAGGCCTGTTTCTTCTGAGTGTTACCCCATGTTATTGCTGCGTAACTGACTAGATAATTTTGACTAATACAGAGGTATAGACTATGCAGTTGCAAACCAAGAGATTCCAAACAGAGCTCAATATTTACCTATATTGTTAAAACAGGTGACATCAATCATGATATGTTGTCTAATTTAGTATTTTTCCTTTTGGTTGTCTTAATTCTCACATTTCAGTAAAATGTTATAATGTGAACACCAAAGTTTACCATATTATTAAATGATAAAATGTTGCTCCATCTGGAATGTATCCAAATTTGCATTTATAATGGTTACTTTGAGCATGACATCTTGGAATAGAAATTCTTTGGTGCTTATATAGGGTAGAAAGTAATGCTTATGTTTCATTATAACCACACCGTCGTTGTTTCTTAATATTGTTGCTTATTGATTTTCATGCCCTCATTCTAAAGGCAACCTGCAACCAGTTCTTGACTAGTGACTGCACTATTTCTTAAGTCTCACATTCATCTCATGGGGCATAGCACCTGCATTTGTCTCATAGAATTTCCCTTTTTAATGTATTGTACATTCACAACGCTCTTGAGAAGCAATTCTTCTCTTCACTCATCATCTCTAATTCTAGAGCAATGTTCTTAATTGGCGCCATAGCAAGTATCCCACTTTTTTTTTGCTGCTAGAAGAACCATTGTGGTTTGTATTTTCAGTTTCATTGTATTTAGCTCTGTTATAACTGGAAAATCCATTCTCGCCCTTGATTCCCGGATGACATCATCCTTTATACTGTGTAAATATGTTTTGTCTACCTTCATCTTAAATTTCATATTTAGTTGTTTGGATACTTTTTGAAATACTAATTGTGAGATATTAGTTTATACGCTCCATCTGTATGTTCTCTCTAGAAATTGCCCGAATTCTTGTTCTTACTAACAAAAAAAAAATGTCAATTGGAGAATGAATTGAATTAAATTTGTATCTTTGATTATTGAATTGAATAATGGAACATAAACTCTAATCTTCTATTTTTTTTTTTTTAAAAAAAAAACCTCACTTAAGAGAAGAAAAACTTTATTCATAAGCAAAAAATTAATACAGGGACCTAGAGCCTTACCCCTGGTATTTAACCTTGTTACAAAGGTAACAACATTCAATTTGAAAAGTTGCGCCTGCCACTAAGCTAATCAGCACATAGCAGCTAGTTGGTCCCTTCCTGATGCTCCTCCTAAAATCTTTCCAAAATTTGTTGAGGCTTGTCATCCTTAAGAGGTTGAAATTGATATTTCGAGTGATTAGTTTGAATCGAGAATCTGTCATCCCACACGTTATCATAATCCCACTCAATATGCATTGAATCCAAAAACAAACAAGACAACATCCTGTGAGTTCTACAGGTTTCGAAACCAGGGTTGGACCTTTCATGATAGTCTCTTCTAGAAAGGATTTTCGGGAGGAATGTTTGGAATGGATTTTTGAGCGGAAATTAATCTGAGATGTTATTGTGCTTTATGGGGCTAGTGTTATTTAAGACGTAAAGCGAACCGAAGTGATTAAAGCTCCTAACGCTTAGGCGAGAAGCGAGAAGCGAAACGAATAGTTAAAAAAAATATTTTTTTTTAGTTTAATTACTTCTANAGCTCCTAACGCTTAGGCGAGAAGCGAAACGAATAGTTAAAAAAAATATTTTTTTTTAGTTTAATTACTTCTAAACAATCTAAATTCTAATTTTATATATACTAAATATTTAAATGCAAGTAAAACCATAAACATTTAAATTAAAACAAATACTAATAATATCTCAAATGCATTAAAGCTCATTGTTTTCATCTGTTTGTATAATTCTTTTAAACGTTTAATTCCATCAATATCAATAAGAAAAAAAAAGAATGTGTTTTGTTCGGAGCATTGCTTATCAGGAAAAAAAAAAAACAGACCAGTGATCGTCAATAAAAGAGACTACTAATTGGAGATGAATCAGAAAAAAAAAAAAAAAAAAAATCGGTGAGAAAGGAGTAGCAGAGAGAAGAAGAAAGAAGAAAAAAACAGAAATAGAAGAGAGGAGGAGAAGAAGAGATTTACTGTTCGAATCAGAAAAAAAAAAAAGAAAAGAAAAGAGAAAAGCAGTATCAGTGAGAAAGGAGTATCAGAGAGAAGAAGAAAGAAGAAAAAAATAGAAATAAAATAGAGGAGAAGAAGAAGAGATTTATTGTTCGAATTAGAAAAAAAAAAAAGAAGAGAAAATCAGTATCTGTGAGGAAGGAGTAGCAGAGAGAAGAAGAAAGAAGAAAAAAACAGAAATAGAAGAGAGGAGAAGAAGAAGAGACTTACCTGTGTCCAGCGATGGTCCAGCAGCTCCGGCGATGGTCCAGTCCAGCTCCAGCGATCGTGTAACAGAGCTCCAGCGAAGACAATCTGAAAAAAAAATTAGGTTTGGGTTGTATTTATGGGGTAAGGGAATAATTCGGTGTATCCATGTCTTAAAATTTTTTTTTCAATTGCCAAATCAACGACCCATACTCAAAGTAAAANATTTTTTTTTCAATTGCCAAATCAACGACCCATACTCAAAGTAAAAAAAAAAACGCCTTGGAAGCTTAAGGCACTCGCTTTGTCGCGTTTCGCTTAAGCAACTGACGCTCGCTTTGTTCGCTTTTTGCTCGCTTCGGCTACGTTCGCTTCGCCTAGAGTCCTCCAGGCGAGAAACCTTCGCCTCGCCTCGCTTCTCGTCTAGGCGCACTTTTCAAANTCGGCTACGTTCGCTTCGCCTAGAGTCCTCCAGGCGAGAAACCTTCGCCTCGCCTCGCTTCTCGTCTAGGCGCACTTTTCAAAACACTGTATGGGGTTATCCATTCAAAAATCGCGTTTTATTAAATACATGTTTATTAAGGTGATCATCTAAAGGTGTCCATCATTCTTATTTTCCTCTTGGTATGCTTTAATAGGTTTGCCAACATAAAAATGATCCCCTCCTGCTAACAGCTATTATGGTGCTGATGATTTCTGTAAAGGTATTATTCATTACAAGCATCTTCTATTGCGATTGGATCACCTCATATCTCTAGTTCGTTAAAGTATTGAACTGCTACTCATCATTGTGTATATGCATCTGATGGTTTTAGCTTAAAAGAGCTGGACATATAATAAAGCTGTATAGTGGTCATCACTGTTCATTTGTTACAGCCAGATCATTGTGGTTCTGTTTCGAATACTAAGAGAGAGACCTTTAATGGTGCAGTGATGTCGGTTTGAAGAAATAATGTAATTTGGTCTTTAGACAATGTTGTTTTGTTTTGGAGAGACCAGTTTAGAGGCTTGTGTGATGCATTCATGAAGAAATATCCAAAACTATTCAATATATTCTCAAACTTGGTTGTTTATCTGGCTAGACAGGAGTTATTTGTATTGAAATTGCATTTGCTATCTAAGGGAACCATTTTTCAGTTAACTTTCGTCTGTCTTTCTTACACGAGTATAAAATTTTAACTGGCTTGTAATTATGTGTCAGTAGTTTTCCATTGCTATTTTATCCTTTTTGCTGTTGCCGTGGTTTAATATGATTTCCCCCCCCTTGGCTGTTGCAAAAATGCTCTATGAATCTCTCTTTTGCTCTAGATGTCTCCATAAATGCATTATGATATCTACATATTTTTTTGTTTGTTTTTCCTCTTTATATTGACCTTTTTCCCACTGAGCTGGCATTTTGTTTGGTAGAATGCTTGTCAGAATGGATGGTTTTCTGATAAGGATTCAAAAGAACTGCTTACTCTTGTAAACGAGGTTTGTAACGAGTTTCTGAATTTACCTATGATTGATATGCAATTTATTTCTAGTTTATAGCTCCCTAATGTGCTGATTTCGTAAATGCTATCTTTCTGTGTATTTAGATGGGGAGCAGATTCTGTAGTAGAAGTGATATTAACACTGAAGCAAGCAATTCTCTTTCTGTTATATCAACTATTATGTCAAGGTGAAACTTATATTACTTTTCTTCAAGTTACGACTATTATGAGATGGTCATATATTGATTCTGTTAACTTTGAAATTTTCAAGCAAATTTCTGTCTATCATGTTGGAGTTGCAGCTGAGATGGGAGAATTGAGATGCTTATTACTTTTGGACATCATGTATAGACCCCCAAGCATGAGACATATGAAGCTTAGAAGTCTGAACCCGTTATATGTGATATCTTATTTCTATTGTTATATTTCAGGCTTTTCTCGTTGGTATCCATCACTTGACTATAGAAGTTTTATAGTGCCAACAATTGTTTGGCATCACAACATAGTGATGGTGGTGGTGCCTAAACTGTTATTTGAAGAAGCAGATCTAGTGTTCGTTAAGAAGGAAGTGCGGTGGTGTGTTATCGCAAGTTTACTTTAAGTACCACCCAAAGTCTAGAATATAACATGTCCTGATTAGGGCTTTTAATCATTCACTATGGAATGAATTCAAAGTTGTACTTCCTCAAGAAAGAATACACGCTTGATGGAAGTACTATGTTTTCCAAAAGAAACCCTGGCGGGCTTGGTCTTATTAATTGGAAGTACTTTGCCTATATCTTCTTTGAAGTTTGAACCACACTTGATCTTAGCCTGTCGGAAATGCTGCACATGCACCAACAATTACTAGCTCCTTTGATTGACCTTTTAGACTTGGAATAAAGGTAAGTGAAAAAGGGATCCAAACTAAGTGTAGAGCCCCCGTATATATAGTCAATGAGAGTTACCATAAGGACAAAAAGGTAAAAAAGGAAAACTTAATAAAACTATAATAAACTAATCTGCTGCTATATTTCCAACACTCCCCTTCAAATTAGGCGCAAAAATGTCAACTAAGTCAAGCTTGACAACGGAGTCTCGAAAATAGACAGAGTGACAGGTTTGGTAAAAACATTCGCAACCTGATCACTGGTCCCCACAAACGATGGAGTGACAATACCTTTGCTAACCTTCTCCCGAAGAAAGTGAACATCAATTTTTATATGTTTCGTCCTCTCATGTAGTACAGAGTCAGAAGTGAACTGAATAGCAGATCGATTATCACAATATAATGTNGAAAGTGAACATCAATTTTTATATGTTTCGTCCTCTCATGTAGTACAGAGTCAGAAGTGAACTGAATAGCAGATCGATTATCACAATATAATGTGGAAGGAGAGGTCACTAAAAAACCCAATTCGCCAAGAATCGATCGTAGCCAGATAATCTCACACGTGCCAAGTGCCAGTGCCCGATACTCTACCTTTGCTGACGAGCAGGAGACAACTGCCTGCTTCTTGCTCTTCCAAGAGATAAGATGAGTCTCTCGAAAAGCACAGAAGCCCGTAGTAGATCGACCATCACATGTTCCCCCATAATCTGAATCTGAATAACAAGCTAGAGAACCGGTCTGAGATCCTGATACATAAAACAACCCAAGTCCAGGACAAGACTTGAGGTACCGAAGAATATGATAAACTGCATCAAGATGAGGCTGACATGGCCTGTGCATGAACTGACTAACTCGGCTGACTACGAATGAAATGTCCGGCCTACTATTGGCTAAGTAGATAAGTCTACCTACCAATCTTTGATAAACTGTAGGATCTTTCAACTCCTCACCTTCAGCAGTAATCTTCAGGTTTAGAATCATGGGTGATGATGCCGGTTTGCACCCCAACATCCTAGTGTCTGAAAGAAGATCCAAAATATATTTTCTTTGAGAAAGAACAACACCCCTGCCGCTACGGGCAACCTTAATCCCAAGAAAGTATCGCAGAAATTCAAGGTCCTTCACATCGAAGGCCTTCCCAAGGTCTATCTTGACCTGCGCAGTCCCAGAAACATCATCACCGGTAATAATAATATCATCAACATATACCAGAAGAATGACACACTGTCCAGAAGTATTCCGTCGAATAAAGCAGGTATGATCAGAATGACACCT